AGATTCTCTTCAGAATAACTAACTCTCAATAACTATTAATAAATAATTAATGATTACATTAATTTTTAAATCATTAAGTAACTTTTAAGTAAATTACTTTGGCTAACACTTAATGGCATTATTTTACTAAAATATCATCTCCTAATTTTTAAACAAATCTTAAATCTTTTTATGTTTTTTAAATAGTTTCATATGCTTTAAACCATCCATCTTTAATTGCTTATTTACTATTTTCTAATGCTTCTAATCATAATTGAAGGCGATTTTAAAAATTTATCAATTTTTAAATGAAAAAAGAATTATCATCAGCAATATATTATTAATGATATTTCATTATTGTACAATATATATATATGTATGGTTTCATTAAGATTTAGAAATAATATATATATTTTTTATTCGTTTCTGGGTTTATTTACTTTTTGATATATTACTTCTTTATCCAATATTTATGTTATACTGTCTGTTGTTGTTTTTGCATACGTGCATAAAGAAGAATAATATGTGATGGTTGTTTATAACAAAATGAATTCTATAAAGGAATTCCTATCTTAATAAGAGTATTATACAGCTCTTGAGAAATTAAAAGTAAGATCGAAAGAAAATTTTGAGTTTGAAGAAGAAAGCTTTACAATATTATAGTGAACATTACTAAGAAATAAGAGTGTTTGAAATTATTAGCTTATTAAAACATTGAAAGCTGAATAGATATAAGATATGTAGATGTTCTTAAGGGAAACCTTTCCAGAAGCAATTGATAAGATAAAACGTATAATTGCAGATAAAGTATAATAATTGATAGATAAAGGAAAAACTCATAGAAGGAGACATTAATAAACTAGCAAAGTTGAAACATACTTAATCAGAAGATATCAGCAAACTTTTTGAGGAATTTAATTATTTGCATCAAACAATATAAGAAGGTAAAATAAATAACATAATTATTTATTTTTAGTGTTAGAATCTAATGATTAATAGTATATTTATAAAGCCTTAGAATTATTAGAATCTAAAATAATGAAAGGATCATTTAAATAAATGTAAAATTAAGAAGTGGATTTTTTTATGAAAAGCGTTTATAGATTATTTCAAGAAAAATCAAATCCTCATAAAAAAGAAGAATCAATATAATTATTAAGTTTAATGAGAAGTGTTATATCTGAATATCTAATAACGATGATGAATGATTAATTAGAACAGTCCTTCGATTTATTGGATAAAGAACTATTTTTCACTTAATCAAAACATACTCATATTAATGCAAAAGAGAGAGTAGAATATATGTATATATAATTAATCAATATATTTAGAGAATCATTATAACATATGGAAAAATATTTTAGATACATAATTTGATAATACAATATTAGAAGTAGCATAAAAATAATAGGATATTGCAAATAAAATTGGGAATCGTGCTTAATAATATCATACCTAGATGTAAGAAATGTTTAAGGCAATGCTAGAACGTTTTTTATAAAGATGAAATTAGTCTATATATATATATTTCATTAAATAATCTTCATCATCATATCACAGAATTCCTCATAACTGATTTATCCATCATCATTTTTATCTATTTCTCTTATCATATCTAACCAATATTTCTCATCAATTCCTTATAATGATGAACCCAATACTTCTTTAATTTCTTATTCTGATGTAGATCCATTCGCATCTTTATCAAATATATAAAATGCCTTTAAAATCTTATAATATTTTATTACTTCTTTCAATTTTTCTTTTTACACTGCTTTTTTTCTATCCATAGAAGCAATTATAAATTCTGTATAATCTATAATACCTTATCCATCCATGTCTACTAAATCCATTATCTTTTAAACTTCCTATAATGCTGTTTCATCATCCATATGCTTTTTATATGTTTCTAGGATCTCTTCTTTTGTAAGGATCCCATCTCCATTTGAATCCATCTCTTTACATCTTATCAATTATTAAATATTTACTAACTAATTTTTATCTTCTTTTAATATCATTGTTGTACCAATAAACATCAATGTTGCTTATTATAATTTTATTCAGCTCTAAAATTGATTAAATTTTTCAGTCTCTCTTAAACTACTTTTATCAACTTTCTCTTAATGTTACTTATTTAGCACTTAATCACTTTTATACATCATATTAAAGCATTTATGTAACAAGATCTTTTGCATGAGCACTTACAGAATTCCAAACATCACCCTTAAATATTATCATATTAATTTTACTTCTAATGAATATTTCCCATGTGAAATACTCTTTTAAATTTCTATATCTGTTCTTCCTTTAAATGAAGGTTATCCAGATAATAAAATATATAAAATAACACCACAAGACCAAATATCACATTTTTGATTATAATTACGCTTTAATACTTCAGGTGCCATATAAAATAAAGTTCCAAATTTTTCATTAATTTGTTGATTTGGTGAAAATATTTTTGCTGTTCCCCAATCTACAACTTTAACATTATAATTTCCTTAACTAGTTATATCAAGTCATTAGAACATAAAGTAAATGGTTTACTAATAAATTCCTTAGGATCTTTATATAATAAAAATAAGTACTTTTCCTTTAGGTTAGTATATAATATTGAAATTCAATCCCTAAAATGATTTTATTTACATCTATATAAAAACTAATTTAAAAGATTTTTTAGTTATTTTTGATATCTTTAATATTTTTTAAACTTTTTTGTATGGAATCATAATTACTTATAAGAATTACCACAGAAGTCTTGGAATCTGTTTATAAAAGTAATTAAATTTTTCTTTGTTCCAATCTATTTCCTATTATTGATATTATGTTATAATTATGGTCATAAATTTATTATTGTTCCAATTTAAAACACGATTAGGGCCTTTCTCCCATTAAGTACAACTTTAATTGTTAAGATAGTAATCTCCAATCACATACTTGTATTCAAAAGGGTTTTGAATTACGTCATATGATATTTACTAAAGACAATCCTTAAAATTTACTGATATAATTTACCGATATACAATTCATACAACATATTTTATCAACAATCCAATTAGTTTGAGAATTGGCTAAATATAGGGCTTATCCATATTTTATAAATAATATCTAAATTGAATTCAACTAAGGGCATTAAAATATATATAAGTTAATATTAAATATATTATGAAATGTTTTTATGAATTTAAAATCAATTTGATCTTACTGTTAACTTATTTTATTGAATAGGGTATATAAATAATAAAAATATTCCTACCAAAACTAATTAAAAATAGAAATGTTAATAATTATTTAACTTCAATTTTTTATTAAATTTAGATAGATTATTAAATAATATATTATTCAAACATTTTGTACTAATATTTAATTTGGTAAAAATTAATACATGGATTCACAAGTTGAAATATTACGTTTCCCATTCCCGATTCTATTAATAGGATGTATTTAATTACCTTCACCATTAAGGAAATCCACACATAAATGTTCCATCAAATGCA